TATTATTTTTTATATATATATATATATATATATAACATTTCTGTCCCCCTCACTTCTGAAATGATGGCTACGCCCCTGATATATATATGAGTAAAAATCTAATGAAAATTTGAAATGAAATAGAATAAGCTGAAACATATGTTTCAGCTTATTCTATTTCATTTAAAATTTTCATTCGATTTTTACTTGATGTACTAAAACAACTCAAACTGTAATAAAAGCTATATAGAATATAGCATATAGAATATATTATATATATATAAAAAAAAAACTTGAACTCAAATTAAAATGAAAAAAACTAAATATGAATTATTTTGTAATAATAATAGAATCTATGCTAGTATCTGAATAATAATAAAACAACACTGTCTCTGATGATGATAGCTTTCGTCGTGTTTTCTCAGGGATGGATCTGAGCAGTCTTCAGCAGACAAACACGTGAAGATCTGGGACATCCTGGGAGACAAACCCACCCTGACCCCCTCCAGAGACATGAAGATGGTGCGTATCTTATATATACACACAAGCGTCCGGAGCGGCTTCATAACGCGCCTCTGTCTCTCTGTCAGGGCAGTGTGTTCTGCGGCTCCTGTTGTCCGGATCTGCCGTTCGTCTGTGCGTTTGGAGGACAGAAGGACGGGCTGCACGTCTGGGACATCATTGAGAATCTCCAGCGGCTCCAGAGGATGTGTGTGTGTTTGTTGCTAACAGTGATCTGTTGTATCTCCAGTTGCGGAGGCTTTCTGCAGTCGGGAACGTTTGGTGGTGAATACAGTATCCGGAGCGTCCAGCAGTGAACCGGACATCTCATAACGACCCACATTATGTGAGACTGAGTCAGCGACGGGACGCACAGAAGACTGAAAATCATGTGAATGAAATAACAAGCATCTTCTGATATATATATATATGTCTTTGCTGCCTTTGACAAATGTTTGAAGCCACTTTCCTTTGAGGGAATCTTGAAGATTGAATTTTCTCTCCATATTTCTTCTTTTTAGGAAGTGTATAAAGAATTATGATAAATAATTTACAGTATAAACTACAGAATCCCAAGGCAGTTGTCTTACTCTGTATTTCCAAATGATTTCTGTCAGCATTTTACGATTCCAAACTGATCAATTCTGAAAAACAAATGCTTTATCATAAATGACTGATTTATTATTGAATAAAACAATATTTATGGCGGTGTTTCGCTGCCCTCCAGTGGCGTATTGCGGTACTGCTGGTGTTTGTAAGTTTATTTTTTTGCCATTTAAAAATATTATCTTTCATGAATGTTAGTGAAAACGAATTGCCTTCATGATTTTATTTTATCCTAATGAATAAATTTGATTCTATCTATTATTTAAATTGATCCTAATGAATAAAACAATCTGTGTGGCGGTGTTGCGCTGCCCTCCAGTGGCGTATTGCGGTACTGCTGGTGTTTGTAAGTTATTTTTTTCTCATTTTAAAATATTATCTTTCATAAATGTTAGTGAAAACAAATTGTGGCGGTGTTGCGCTGCCCTCCAGTGGCGTATTGCGGTACTGCTGGTGTTTGTAAGTTATTTTTTTTTCTCATTTTAAAATATTATCTTTCATAAATGTTAGTGAAAACAAATCGGCTTCATGATTTTATTTTATCCTAATTCTCCGTGATTATCCATTTATTATAGTTATTTTGGGAAATTGGAACCGCGTCCGGATACTTAGGCCGCCAGAGGGCGCTCCACGCATAACAACGTTAAAAATTACAGTGCCAAAGACTATAGAAAAGGTACTTTGATAATACCACAATGAACAGCACATATCTTAACGAAAGAAAAAGTTGTAAAAATGTATTTACCTTACAGTGCAGTTTTAATTAAGAAAGGTGGTTTGTAACGCTGCCTCCTAGTGGGCTGCGAGGTACTGCAAGATAACTAATTTGTAAATGTTAATTGGCATTTTCACAACACATTTGAATAAAATAAATATGCTACAATTTTTTATTCTGCATGTATTCCGTTTCTCTCTCTCCAGTGGGCTACGGAGAGTGACCACAATTTAAATATTATTATTACATTTAGTTTGCCAGTCTTTACTATGCCTATGTTTTCGATCAAATAAAGCAATTTTGTAAAATATTGATTATTAGGACCTGAACGACCACGGATTGTTTCCTACCCGGAGGGATATTTGTGTAGCGCACTGTCTGTAATAGTTCCGCTAGAGGGCGCTCTAATGTTAAAAAATGGAATTCCTCGTTGAACTTCATTCAAAAGCGAAGGCGTATTTTGAGTCGAATTGCAAGACAGTTCGTACTGCAACCACAAAACTAAACAAAACACACATGAAAGATTTTTAAAAATATGGGTTAATGTAATGATATAGACCGCAAACATCGCAAAACGTGTCTTATTTGAACCGCGGAGTTTCACTTCCGGCGGACAGCATGGCGTCGGGTCACATCCGCAGACTGGCTAAGCTGTTTACCTCCAGCAGAAGTATTAGAAAACTCAGAGGTGAGCTCTCTTAAAGAAACACATTCACATTTTGGTTAATAAATCATCTTGAGTTTATTTATGCAGGACTGAGCTCTGCTGTAATCTGCAGCCTCTCTGGCCTCAATAACGAGTGATTTTGTGCTGTTTTGGCTTGTATGCGTTTACTTTCAATGACAAAACGACCAAAAATTAGCTGTTTTTTTTTTTTCAATTTTAGCAGGAACTTTTCTGTCATCTCACAACAAATCTACTGTCAGAGGGTCATCCTTTAATGAACCATCATTCATTACCATATTATGATGCATCAGCAGTTACTGTATGCCCAGCTTCATCCAAACCTGATAAAGTGTTATTGTGTTGCTTGCTTACCTAAAATGTGTCGTTTCTGTTGCAGTGATGTAGAAATCGCAGTGACATCTGATGGAAACACAATAGTGTGTTACCATCCGACAGTAGATGTACCCTATGAGCTTTCACAGGTGCGTATGATGGTTTCTCAATATTCGTGCTGGTGCAGAAGACCGCTTTGTGGAGATTTAGCCCATAAGTGTTTGTTTTGTTTGCTGTAGCCGATCGTCATGCCGGACGTCGTCAGTGATCACGCAGAGACACACGAGCAGGTGCTCAAAGCCAGACTCGGTAAAGAGGTGTTAAATAACAAACAGGCCCCGACCATAGAGGAGCTCAGTAAGATGTTTTACACCACCAAACACCGCTGGTACCCCGTCGGACAGTGAGGTTGCATTGTGTACTCTACAAAAACAGCATATTCTGCCATGTTTCAGGTGAATGAACTGGTTTGTGTTTGTGTTTTCACTGCAGGTATCACTCCAGACGCAGAAACCCAAATCCACCCAAAGACCGATAGTCCGGGATGTCTTCTTTCATTTTCTTTGTACATGAACTGCTGCACATTAAATAAACCCTTCCTTCAGCTATTGGTTTAATGTGTTGTGTATTATAATTTATTCATGGTTGATCGTATTATAATGAAAAAAAAAAACTTCAATATTTGAAATAAAATGTTAACTTTAACTGTAATAAAACAAAAAAAATGTACGATTATTTTATTTCAGCTAGTTGCTAGGCAACATTTATCATTTTCATTTAGTTTAACTTGATGCATTAAATTAACTAAAATTGAATTTCCATGTTAAAAAAATAGTAAAAATGACAAAAACACAACAAAATTAAAATGAAAACTAATTCCAAATATGTTAACATTTACAATACAAATTGAATGACTGCTTTTTAATGTAATGTTTTAAAAACTTGAGTGCTGAAACTCAAAAAAAGCTACTGCAATTTGGCAATCAAATGTACTGGCAACATTTGATCATTTATATTTATATATATATATATATATATATGCATTTTAATTGCTTTTATTTTCCCAGAGTAATATAAAACATTCAACATTTTTTTGTAAAGTCAGAATAAATTTGGTTAAATAAAACAAATTTAATAAATAATTAACTTAGGTAAGCCAAGTTCATATGGCACATTTCATGCACAATAATTATTAAAAGTGCTACACATAAGGATTTAAAAATAATCATAACATGCATAAGAAACTATAAGTTTCATTTATATAGCGCCTTTCCAGAGCTCAAGGACGAAAAGAATAACACTGAAAGGGTAGACAATGCTGACAAACAATAGAAGTAAATAAAATTAATATAAAGTTTAAAAAGTAATAATGGATTTAAATGTATTAAACAAGAAGGAAACAGATGCATAATAAGTACTGTATAATGAGCAATTTAAAAAAAAGATTAGTAATTGATTTAAAATGTATTAAAACAAATAAGAAGGGAATAGAGGAATGCATGTATAAGATTGTACAAATGTTTGGGGGGGGGAAGCATTAAAACAATTCGAAATGCACGCAAACTAATAAAAGAAACAAACTTTATCAAAAGTATTCAATGCAGCTGCCAGTACTTTCTAAATGCATTTTGTTTCCATGCAACTGAAAACCAAATAAAGTTCATCACATCAGTTCAGTATCATTACATTTACGTTCGTGCATTTGACCGATGCTTTTATCTGAAGGGACTTGCATTGCATTCAGGGTTTACATGTGATCAGTTCATGCATTCGAATTTTGAACCCATGACTTTGGCGTTGTGTTTTTCACATGTGTATATGTTTCAATAGGAGACGCAGCGTAGGGATGTAACGATTACCGGTTTGACAATAAATCGTGATAAAATACCCCACGGTTAGTATTACCGTTTCTGTATTTTAATTATCACTATAACCATATTCGATTACCGTGATTTGAACAACTGAGGATAAATAAATACTGTACTGCACAGGGCTCCAGAGTGCGACCAAATGGGCACATTTTGCTATAATTTTTTCTGCCCGTGCGACTAAATTTTGTTTGCGGTCGCACTGGTGCGACCACCGCTTTTCACATAACTATAAACTATGATAAAAGTTCAACAGCATGCATTGATTAATCCCTAAAAATACAAATATTGCGACTAAATCATGTGCTGGTGTGACCAACTGAGAAAGTTAGTCGCAAAAGAGCAACCAGTGGGAAAAATGAGTCTGGAGCCCTGAAGCATAAAACACAGTTTTATTACATTAGATATTTGAACACGCTATTAGATAAACTGTTGTCAGTCATGTTGTCATTTCAAATCCGGATTGGCAATGTTATTGTTTTAGTTATGCAAACAAAAACTCATTGTATTTGTTGTTTGTTGATTTTAAATGTAAAACTTGGTGAAATAATTTGTCAGTACTTTTTGAACATTTCCAGCACATTTTAACAATACCGTGATAATACCGATAACCGTGATCATTTTGGTCTCTATAATCGTGATAAGAAATTTTCATACCGTTACATCCCTAGTTGGTAATATTTCTGTTTGAATCACTGTGATGTGTCTGAAATTAAAGAGTTAGATGATGTCCTAAACGTCATTTATTTGGTAGGTAAATACCATATTCACAAAGCATTAAATTAAACATTAAATTTAAACCAACTGTTATGCATTTGCTTCAGATTTACATTCACTATTATCATCACTTTAAAACTTCTCCAGTAAAAAAGCTTTAAAAACATCCCACATTATAGAAGAATTTGTAAATAAATTGTCATTTTTTATTTATTATTTACTCATTTATTAATCTTGCAATTCTGACTTTATCTCGAGATTCTAAGTTCACATCTTGCAATTTCTGACTCTTTTGTTGTTGTTTGTTTGTTTTTACCAAAAATAAAAAAGGTAATGGTGTAGTTGTGATATTTAAAAAAAAAAAAACTAAATTCTGATTTTTTTTTCTCAAAATTGTGAAAAATCTGAATTTTGATATATGAACTCTGAATTGTGAGCGAAAAAGGTTAGAATTGCAATTATCTTCAGCTCACATCAAAAATCAAAAGAAAAAATAATGAAATGCCTTTTTTATTTTATTTTTTGGTCATTTTTTGTAATAAAATTTTTTCCCTCAGAATTCTGAGTTTAAATCTTGTGCGATTCTGACTTTGAGTGTGCATCTTTATTATTGTCATTCTTATAATAAAAAATTTTTCCACCACAGAATAAGTAAGGTAATTGTGACTTTTTATCTTACAATGACTTTCTTCTCAGAATTGTGAGTTTATGTCATGCAATTGACTTTTTCTCAAAATTGCGAGAAATAAGAATCGTGATATGTGAACTCTAAATGGTAAGGGGAAAAAGTAAAAATTGTGAGCAGTTATAATTTTTTCATTTTTTTTCCTGTGGAAATTGGCTTCCATATTGAAATAAAAAGAAAAGTGGAATAATCTCACATAAACAGGTTCAGCACACATTTCACTCAGAAATCGAAAGAAAAAAAAATGATGAAACCTATTTTAGGACCATTACGATTTTGTTTTTGCACTCAATGTTTTGTTTTTGTTTTGTTTTTTTGTCATTTTTTTTATTCTCATTATTGTATTATGATTTTATGAGATTGACCCAAATCAAATCAGTATGATCTTAATTGATGTCCTGGAGGGTCTTTGTGTTTTTCTCTCTCTCACAGCCCGAACGTGGACTAGGCTTTATGCCGGCAACAACATTGAAGTTTAGAAGAAGGAAACGGTGGCATCAAGAGAGAGAAGTGGAACAATCTCCTCCGGTCTTCTTTTGCATTTAAAGGACACTTTCTCAGACAAAATAAAACTAAGCGAAAAAAACAAAACAAAAACATACGATTCAAAAGCAACTACTGCATTCCTTTGGGTGAGTGTCAGTGTGTTCCTGGTCAGAGCTAATGTTCGCTCCGCTATATGATCTCTCTGCTTCTGGGTTCGGCCAGGAAATGACGTGTGGTGATGGCCTGGGGTTTCCCAGCATCCCACTGGACCCTGTCAGAATGTGTAGTACAGTCTCTATTACAGTCATTAGCGCAGTGGATTTCACTGTAAAACTGAGTGTAGGCTCCAGGCCCTGCATCCAGGTGGATGGTTCCTTTTTGTTAGTTAATTTTTCTGTTACGGGGTGTAGAGGGAGGGCCTGTTGAACGTGGGATGCATATATGCTGCTTCTCGGTCAGGGACAAAATGATGTGAACTTTTTTTTTTTTTTTACTATTTCCTTTCTGTGAAACTCTTCAGTTCATTAAACGCCTGTTGTGAACCCGTCTATATCATTGCCAGAACCTGCTCTGACGTTGTTGTATTCCAAGCGAAACTTGTGTGAGTGTGCGTGTAAAGGTTTGTGTTTCGGCTGAAGTGGAATCTGTATGACTTGTCTGGGAAAATTAAATCTGTAAATGTTCAGTTTTAGTAAAAATATTTTTTGTTATGTTATTTGGTTTGTTCTCTTCATTTCTGAGTTTTTTTTTTACAGGTTTGAATCTGATTGTTATGGAAGCTTGTTACTGCCACAGAATTAAAAAAGATAATGGTTTATAGATTTTATCTCACTATTCTGAATTCACAATTTTTTTTCCTCAAATTTCCAGATCTCACAATTTTGACTTTTCCTGAGAATTCTGAGTTTGTTGCAATTTTTATATTTTTTGGAATTCTGAGCTCGCATCTCGCAATTGACACTTTAAAAAAAAAAAAAAAATTTTATTCTGAGTTAGCATTTCGCAATTTGGGCTTTTTTTATGGAAATCTGAGTTTATATCTTGGAATTTTGACACTTTCTTGGAATTCTGAGTTTGCATTTAGTAAAAAGTGATTGCAATTTTTATATCTCACAATACTGACTTTTTCCTCACAATTGCGAGTTCGTGTCTCATAATTTGGACTTTTCAGAATTGCAAAGAGAAAAAAAAGTCAGAATTGAGATTAAAAAGTCACAATTACCCTTTTTTATCCTGTGGTGGAAACGAGCTTCCATAGATCGTAGCCTGAAACCTCTCAGCAGATGCCAGAAAATACAGTTTATGTCAAATAATTTCACAGTCTGAATGGCATGCATACAAACACTGCAGGTGTTTCATCTCAACGACTCTATGAATTATGCTTAAACAGGGCTGTACTGCCTTGCTAGTGTGATAATGTGAAAGTTTGTTTCTGCAAATAAAATAGAAAAGAATTTATCTGGTTTTGAGAGAAGCCCCTTCGAACCATGGTTCCGATCAATATTTGTCTATACAAAAGAGAATTTGTTGATTAAATTACACTTGTCACAGTATTACTTTGTCAAAAAATTAGGTGGCAGAGGCATCTGAAAAATAATGTTTAGATGGTGCAATACATGGACAACGTTTTTTTTTGTTTTTTACAGTTTAGAGCAAACATGGTATGTAATAAAAAATTAACATTAGGTGTATCTACTTAGCTGCTGAATTTGATAAAAATGTAAGCTTAAAATACAAATTACATTCCCCCATTTGAAATCAATGAAAAGTCAGTTCTTCAGTACAGTATATAAAGGGAGTTCTGTCTCCCTTTTAAATGAGACTTTTAATCCCAGACTTTCACTGT